GTAATTAATCATTACACCGTACAGAGATAATTTTGAGTCTATGTAAATATCCTATATTACTGTAGAGATAGAAGATGTGTGTGTGTACATATATACATCTATATATTTTCTAGCTCTGTTTATTGGGAGGACTTAGAAGCAATGACACTGTAGGATATCTAGTACCCAGATCTTAGTTTCTACTTAATTATCTATTTATGATTCTTGTGTTAAACAGTTTTCTCCGTGGTGGTTGCAAAATGGTGATTTGCTAATTCCATCATATCTTCTACATTAGTTGATATTCTACTGTAAGGAAGCATTTCATTCATTTATATCAGTACAGATTCAGGGACTCTTATCTACAGTTTATAATACATTACTATACTTATTTTGTTACCCAAATTGTCTTATATTTGGCCAGTGTGAGCCCCTTCTAGCTGGCTCCTGAATTCTTTTGTAAACCTCCATTATTCTTTGGACATTTAAAAATTTTCTGGCACAAGAAGGTGTTCTGGGTCCACGCTCATGCTATTCCATCTGACAAAATTGCTAAGGGTGACTGACAAGTGGTCATCTTTCCAATTTTATCTTAAGTGTTTTCTCTTAAGATAGACCTATTCTGATCATTTAATCTAAGCAGCTCCCTTCTCCAGTCCCTATTACAACACTCCTTTAACCTTCACAGCCTTTACTTATTGACATTAGATTAATTCCTTCAACAAATATTTATTTAGCGCCAACTAGTGCCAGACATTGTACTAGACTTTGTTTATTGTCTTTCATAACACATTATGTCTGTTTTATTTACCAAAGGTAATTCAATGCCTAGAACATAACAGGTTCTAAATAAATATTCACTGCATGAATGAATAAAATGACCTGATACTAAATCCAATTAGAAATTTTGAGATGGTTTGGGGAAAAAAAAAGGAACAGGGATATATTATTCTGTTAGACCAATTTATCTCAATCTTACCTCATTGTTTTAGCACTTAATTTGCTTTAGGCACACACATGGACGCCCAAATTTAGGTAATAAAAAGAAGCTTGTCATATAAAAATCATTAAATATATTATTTATAAAATTACTAACATAAGTCCACAGTACATTACTGAAAACTCTTGAGAACAGGTATATTTTAATATTCAATTGTTTTAAGATTCTGTAAGTGCAATTAATATAAGGTATGTTCCTTATATAACATATTCAATAAGGTAAGGGCAGTATCCCTTAAATGTTAAACTTTCTATAGCAAAAAATCATACCAGGGCTTCCGTGGTGGCGCAGTGGTTAAGAATCTGCCTACCAATGCAGGGGACACAGGTTCGAGCCCTGGTCTGGGAAGATCCCACATGCCGCGGAGCAACTAAGCCCGTGAGCCACAACTACTGAGCCTGCGCGTGTAGAGCCTGTGCTCCACAACAAGAGAAGCCACGACAATGAGAAGCACGCGCACCGTGATGAAGAGTAGCCCCCGCTCGCCGCAGCTAGAGAAAGCCTGCGCACAGAAACGAAGACCCAACACAGGCAAAAATAAATAAATAAATAAATAAATTTAAAAAAATCATACCAAGTAGGATTAAGAAAGATAATATAAGTATCCTCATTTTTGTTCAGGTCAAGTTCTATCATTAAATGGATTTTCTATGAAGCTGTGAAAAAAACTGAGATCCTTGGATTTGGAAATAGCAGACAAGGGACTGTAAACTTAAAATCATATATTTTTCTAAAAGAATTCAATGCAGCATTTCTCCAAAATGTGTTTATTTAGCTCAATTATTATATCTAGGCATTTTCTGTTTTTAATTCCACTGAATTAAAAATTCTATCTGATAAATTAGGTCATTGAGGATGACAGAACTACTTATCTGCATAATTATGTCCTTCATTTTCACATACAGCTATTAATCCACAAGCACCAATCACATGTTTTGTCCAGTCCACATCTGTGGGACAATGCTTGTGTTCACCACTTTTTCTTCCTGAGTACACAGGAAAACTACATTTCCTAGCATCCATGGCAATTATGTCTGGGTAACAAGACATTACCAACCACCAGAGCGTAGATAAGAGTGAGAGATGCCATTTCGAAGCCCATCTCTTAAAAACAACCAACATGGGCTTCCCTGGTGGCGCAGTGGTTGAGAAACCGCCTGCCAATGCGGGGGACATGGGTTCGAGCCCTTGTCTGGGAAAATCTCACATGCTGCGGAGCAACTAAGCCCATGCGCCACAACTACTGAGCCTGCACTCCAGAGCCTGCAAGCCACAACTACTGAAGCCCACACGCCTAGAGACCGTGCTTCGCAACAAGAGAAGCCACTGCAATGAGAAGCCCGTGCACTGCAACGAAGAGTAGCCCCTGCTCGCAGCAACTAGAGAACACAATTAGAGAAAGCCCACACGCAGCAACAAAGACCCAACGCAGCCAAAAATAAATTAATTAATTTAAAAACAAAACAAAACAACCAACATGACCTTTCAGCTTTAATTTCCTTTTCCATAGAAATCCTGGATATCATGTGTTCCAAATCATATAGCATACAAAATGGAGGAAGGCTGACATAGTCGCACTGTACTGTGATATTAGTGAGCAGTAAACTTTCACTGTGTGAAGCCACTGTGATTTCAGGGATACATTTGTCGCATCAACACAGCTCACAACATAATTTTTCCCTAAATGAAAATCAGTCCTCTCACCGCATGAGACTCCAATGATGGAGCAAAAAAGTCATCAAGCCATTCTCCCTGATAGATGAATCTCATGTATATTACAAGTCGACTTGTATGCTGTACATCAATGATTTCATCTCACTGCAGACTGAAATGTCGGCTAATAAATACAAAGTGATAGTAATTGCCTTTAAACATTGTATGTCAATAATACTATGCAAAATCCAGCACTGCCCCTTGATCAAGACATTTTGCTAATAGCTTATTCAGCTTTCTTTCTTTTTCTTTCTTTCTCGTCTCAAGTGTCCATAGCATCTCTGAGCTTCTCTGCCCCAGGTTTTTCTCCAGAGCACCAAGATCTCACCCAGCCTACTCACAGCCAGAGCCCACAAGTATGTGAGTCAGTGAATGAAAGACTAAACCTTCTGTTACGTGGAGGGAAAATTCTGAGGTTTATGCTCCATAGTTCATTACAGAATCCGCAGTAGGACCAAGTTCTGCTTTCCAGAATAACAGCCAGATGCATGACATAACCTTCACTGTCTTTCCTTCTGACCGCCTCACTCTTTCTGCTTCTATACTCTGGCTTCCTGGGATTACTTCCCAAATGAACGAGCTATTCTGGGGGGGACCCAAACTAATTCAATACTTCTGTGGTACTGCTACCTTTCATGAATTTATCTATAAAAGCAATCAATTTCATTCCCAATTGTTTTTATTAAAAAAGGAATTACATATTGTTTGAAAATGATGCAAAAACAGACAGCAAACTAGTTACTGAGGTACTAGGGAACAGATTTCTGATCCAATAAAATCCACTTTTTTAAGATGAGCACTTTTCTGTTTGGGCTTCTTTTATGTAAAATCCTCACCCCAAATCATGTATTCTCGTACATAGAGACATATATTCTATATTTGCAGTCGGAGCCCTAATCATTCCATATGTTCATGGCATTATTTTGAATTATAGTACATGTACATATTGGTATAGTGTGCTTATTGTTGTCAGTTTTCTTCTTCAGTGAACCATTTTTGAACCACTGATCCACATTTGTGATTGGGAATGTAAAGCAATACTATAGAGATCCACTGGAGCCTCTGGAAAGTAGATGCTGAAATGGAATTGCAAGTGCAAAGGTTTATTGGGGCCAAAGCTGTGAAAGATAAGAGGGGATGGAAGCAGAATTGAGCGAGGAAAATCTTCAACCCATGATGGCGATCTGACACCTCTGAAAGGAAAGGGGTGGGAGGGGAAGCTGGATTGAGCAAAGAGGTCATCCGACCACAGTGCACATCTGACAAAGTCACAGCCAACCCAATAGAAAGGTCCAGAGAAAAGATTTCCCATCAGAGGAGTCCCAGACCCTAGGGCTCAGACCATGCTCAGTCATGGCTGAAGGGTGCCTGCCCAGGAAGTTTCTCTGTTCAGAGGCCAAAGGCAGGTCCTGAAAGTGCTAACGACTGGAAGCTGTCAGTTAACTGCTCTCCTTGCAGCTGAATGGCAAATTCTTTCCTGAAAGAAGATCTAAGCAGCACGCTGCCATGGCTGTCACAGTTTAAAAAAATATAAGCACCAATATGAAAACTACATGATAAATTACCTAAGATGAACTGCAGCCTATTAATGGAATGTAAAGTGAGATGATCTCACCACAGAAACCCTTGCAGCCCATGTACAACCTTTTAAAACTTCAGATTTATTAATAACATAGTATGGTTTCAATAAAAACCTAAGTGATATTACATTTTAATTTTGTGAAATGTGAATAAAATACCATCCCTGCCTTTCTCTGTCCATTAGATTCTGGCAAACACTCAACTTTATGTACCCTACTCTTTTGCTAGCCATTGGAGGAATAACTGTAACACAAAATGTAGCTGATCCACGAGTGTTCAGGTGACATACCAAGGACCAGATTCCTCATCAACTTTCACGGCGTCAATGACTATGTATACCCAGATGACTTACCAATCATATCACCAGCCCAGGCCTCTACTTTGAGCTTCAAATTCATGTATCCAACAGCCCATGTCTCTCGGTTTTCTCAAGGGCACTTCAAGTTCACCTTATGTACAACTGAACTCATACTGTTTTCCTCAATCCTGGTTCTTATCCAGTACCTCTTATAACAACGGACAGCACTACCATTTGACACGGCCCCATCAGAATTAGCCCCTTTCTTTTCCTTAACACCATTTCCAAAGTATCCAATGTACCAACAACTGCTGTTTTTCACCTCCTAAATAGCTCTTCTGTTTGTTTGCTTTTATTTCCATTTCTCTAGGACGTGGGTCAAAAAGGATCTTGCTATGATTTATGTCATGGAGTGTTCTGCCTATGTTTCTAAATAGCTCTTGAATCTCTCCATTTCTCTCCATCTCTTCTACCACCAAAGTTATTTCTCCAGTTATATCTGCAATAGCCTCCTAGCTGGTCTATCCACTCACACTCTGCCCACCTCCTCTATCTCTTCTCTATATTACAGCTGGATTGATTGTACAAAAATGCAAAGTATGACCACATCACCATCCTTCGTTCTTAAAATGCTTTTGCCTTTAAAGTCATGCATGGTTTGGTCCTACCCGTTATCTTGGGTCTCACTTTCCCAACACCTCCTCCCTATACTCCATACTCTGGCTGCACTGAACTTTCCGGTAAACTCCTACACTCATCAGGAACTCTTCTCCCCAAAGGACTTAGCAATGCTCTTCTCTCTGCCTCAAATACTGTTTTTTACTCCACTTCATCTTATCAATTTCTACTCATCCTTTTGCTAGCAGAGCAAACTTCCTTAGGAAATCTTTTGTGACCCTGATGACCAGGTCACATCCCCCTGTGATAAGCTTTTATAGCACCAATGGCTTTCCCTCATAGTATTTATCACAGTTGCAATTTGACATTTATTTGTATGACAACTCGATGAATGTCTGTCTTTCCTACTACAATGTAAACTGCATGGAGGCAGAGCCTGTGTTTCGTTTTGTCCACCACAGTGTCCTCAGAACATGACTTGACTCATATTAACATATTGGGTGTACAACAGATAAGCAGCTAGAAGAGTGTTCCATAAGAAATTCCAAAATGCAAATTTGTGAGGCTGCTCCATCTTAGAATGGTTTGCGTGAAAGTTTTGATCCATCCCCTCAATTGGGTATAGTCAGGACATGGGAAGCAAGAGCTCAAATCTTGGACCACTGAACCCAGAGGTCACACACCCCATCTACATGCTATATCTGTACTCGGAGGCTCCAGCCTTGATGTTGTTTTCTACTTAATTATTCTGTAAGTACTCTCTTAGCCTCAAATTTAGCCTTAACATTTTTACCTAATGCTCTCTTCTATCATTGGTGTAGACCTATAGACGTGAACTTCCCCAAAGAGAAGGTCATCATTTATGGAGTGGCCATGGAAAAAAGAAAAGTCACAAACTTTTAGGGGATATTTGGCATCTAGAGCTGAGTTTTCATGAGTTCCTGAAAGTGCAGACAACCATTGCAACTGGTTTTTTAGGGCAACAGCTTACTGAAAAAAGGTGTTCTAATTTAAGTTCACCATTGGGACCCCAAACTCACCATGTACTCATTTGCCCTCTATGAGGGTGCTTAGTTGGGACAGAAATCCTCAGCATGGGGCAGAATCCCCACATTTTTTTACCCATAAAGTAAGGGCTACTAAGGTAGCAACAACCACTGGGAAAGCTATGTGGATCTTCTTCCCTATCGAAATATTAAGTCAGAGGCAAAATCACTGGTTTATAGGGAATTGCAGAGATTAAGGCAATTATCAAAGATTTGTGAGATGCTGGCCAATGATTCTTATCCCCATTCAATTCCTCCATATGGTCAGTGTGAAAACTGATGCTAACTCCAACTGCATTTTCCAATCCCCACAGTAGTCTCTTTCCTAGAACAGATGAATAAAGTTCCTGACTCCTGATCTGCAGTTCCTGATTTGCGGATCCTGTATTACTTTGTTCCTGCTCATTTGGACTACCAGGAGTAGTTTGATTTCACCTGGCAGGAGCAACAGTTTGTTAACTCTCCACCCTGTGCCACAGTCTAGTTGCCGGGAGTTGTGGCAACATTTCCTTTCTCCTAGCACATGGCCCTGACCCAATACTTTTAGAACCTCAAGCTGATCAATCCAGGAGAATAGCGAGTGGCAATACCCTAGATGTCTTGGAAAGGAATATGAGGTAAATCTTTAAAAAACCAAAGATCCCACATCCTCTGTTAAGTCCCAGGAAGGTGTGGCTGGGAGGGGGAGTTTCAATGCCAAGGACATGGTAGACTATTTCCCCTAAGTGGAAGACAAGTTGCACACAACACTAACAGGGAACCTTCTTGGATTCTGGAATCAGATCTAGATAGCATGTGTGTATCCTCTGACCAATTAACAGGCAACACAGAAATCTGCCCTGATCAGATTAAGAGAAGGTTTTCTGGTCTGCAACAAAAGCGGCCTGCTAGTTGGCCTGATGACCACATTGATCCAGTAGTGTCCAAGATGCATGAAGCATGTATATACCAACATGGTATAAGCAAACTCTGCTAAGCCCTGAAAGTAGTGTTACCACAGGGAAGCCTGGGGTTCTGGAGCTAATTCATGTCACCATCAGCAGGTAACTATTCTCTTTTTGAGTAACAACTCCTGGCATGCTTCTAAAACCAAATATCTGATTATAGAGTCAGGTTAAGTATGCAGTCTGGGCTGCCCTTCATGAACTGGGGATCATCAGATCCACAATCCAAAGGGCCACGTTTACCCTAAAACAACAAGCTTTACAGGCCACAAGGATAAAAGTATTAAGTAAATGGGTAGCTCACTTGGAACACAGAAGCATAGACATTTTATACATTATAGGAAGTGCTTAATAAAAATCTCATTAAAGAAAGGATCAACACGCGAACCTGTTCCTAGCAATGGAAGATTCCTACTACAGAGGAGGCAATCAAACACTTTCTGAAGTAAATTTTGCCAGACTTCAGGCTTCATTAATAATATTTATTTTAAAGATCACTTTTTATTGTAACAAATATAAAGTCATCAATGTTTTACAAATTGTCAAAAATGCTTTAAGTACCAAAAAAAATACATTAGTAAAATGAATGTTATATTGTATTATTTGGTATATACTTGATACTGTCAACATGCATACCATATGTCAGAAAAGCTCATGCATTATTGGAAGAGAGCAAAAATAAGATATAAGTGCTATATTGTCTGATTACAAATTCATTGCTTCGGTTAGTTTTCTTTCTTCAGGGATACCATTTACCTGCAATGTGTAAGAATGAATATGGGCATGAGTTAAGCATGGACACTTTTAGATTTGGAGCAAAACGAATTACTGCAAGGCGTAATGTTCTATCTTCTTAACATAATTTAAAATAATTATGTTGCATTATTTCTCTGCATTTGGTTTTCAAAAAAAAGGAAATTCTAAATTAGTCATCTCCTTCTTGGGTCAAAGCTACAATGTTCTGTATTTCTCAAAAGGCACGGCCTGAAAATTCCTCCCACAATAAACAAAAAGAATGAGTTTGACTGCAGGACGTATGACTGTACCTTTTAATCGTGGCTCTTTAGAAAATATCATGTGGTTTGGAAGGGCAGAGAAAATGAGAAAACCTGAAGGGGCATCAAAACTAATGGCTTGGGCCTGGTCCAAACGGTAGTGCTATTGTCAGCTCTTAACTGCTCTATTATCTCAGCTAGTGCTTAAGTCCAGGATTACAACCCCAGCAGCTAGTTCATTTCTTAAACTTCTGATGATCTTTTAAAAGAAAACAACTAACTAAAGAAAACAAACTTCAAAATATACCCTCCCTTGACAAATTCCATACAGCAAGCTGCAAACAAAATGACTTGATATCCATGGGACAAACCCTGTGCTTAAATTACCTTCATAAAGAAAACTGTGACATTAGCATAGTGCTTTGAGGTAGTTGGAAAAAACAAATTATGAAAATCCTGCACTAATGTTGTTGCCTCTTTGCGATACCAGGATAACCAGGATAGAGGGACAGCAAAGCTGTTGTGCACATGAAAATACATACATAGCACTGAATCCATGCATGTGCAGACAGAATGGAATAACTTATAAATTGAGAAACAAACTTCATTTTTTCATTCACATGAACAGAATGGGAATAAGGAATGTAACTTGCCCATTTAGCTCTTCTCTTCAGGAGGTACGACTATTTGGTGTTACATTTATCAGAGGCAGAAACACAAAAATCTAATATCATAATTATAAAAGATGCCAGGCTGGTCTCTCTCCCTTTAGCACTTAGGTACTTTGGGGACTCATCAAAAACAAGAACAAGAAGAAAACAACCAAGAAGATATGGTGTACTTTAGGCAATAATACAGAAAATTACAGAAAAATATAAGAAAGCAAGAAGGTAATAGGCTATAAGTGTTAACTAAAAAGGAGATGAAAGCTTTCCTGACTCAAGCAAAATGCTTGTTCCCCAAAACCTGTCTTAGAAAAATAACTTAGAAAATTATGTTGAACAACCTAAAATCCCCCTAGGGAAATTCTTTGGCTCTTATAACATTTGCTCAGGCATAAATTATCTTTGTATTTGGAAACGGTGCCTATTACTAAAACGTAGCAAGCTAACAAGTCTACTTGCTAAAAATTTATACAACTATTAGGTAAATCTCCCTAACATCATCTACTTAGGTTTCCTTATTTCTCCCAATGGGAGGGGGGGAGAAGTCAAATCTAGATTTTTTAAGTATTCGAAAGAACTATTCACTATTTTTCTAGATATTGTCTTCCTTCACTCCTTGTCCGAAATAATTAAGAATCAGAGGTATGACATCTTAGGAGAGACGGAAGTCTAGGAGGTTAATGAGGAAGAAGTTCTAGCATTTCCATTGAAAAAATATTCTTTTAAAATTATACGTCTTTTAAAAAAAGTCATGAAATTAGTGGTAGTAGGGATTCATTTATTTCTTTGCTCTTTAGACAACACACAATTACAGCAGTTTGTTCCTTTATTAATCTCCTGAATGCTCACACAGTAGCACCACTGCATTAATATACTGAACAGTCTTGTTGAAACATGTTAGCATTTAATTAAAACAAGCAATCAGAATTGTGGGGGAAATTCTTATAAACGTTATTTCATAATTAAAATCTGATGAACAACTTCATTATACTTGCCTCAAATCTTTGAAAAGTTGTCAAACGAAAATCTCCTTAAATTCCCGAAAGCAGTAATAGAGAAGATAATTTTTTGAATGAAAACAAGCAATAATTTTCTATATGTGCCTAAAGTTTTTATGAGACTTACTTAATAGCTTCCCTACCACAATACCACTATTCATACTCAGAACTCCACATCCAACTTACATTTTTAAAACTTCTCTGGCTTTTCCAAAAGAGCTACAAAGGCATTACTGGGTTGCTCAGCAATTAGAACTAGGAATCAACCACTAATTAGAAAACAATCATGAATAAGTTATCTACTTGGTACAGAGATGAATGAAATAATTGGCTGTGGAAATTTTTTAGGGACACTTGAAAGAAATAAACTTAAAGAAAGCAAGTCTTAGGGAAATAGAATAGTCCAGGGAGAATTGCCCGCCATCTTGTTGTCACTGGTCATGTTATAAGAGCTTTTTAAACGGCATTAAAACCAGACCAACCATTTCTCATTTATCCCCCTGAAGCCTCAGTGATTAGTCACAATGGTTTCCTTTTGTAAGAGTCAGTTTCAAGCTGCTCACTTACTGAGACAAATCCTGGAAGCATCCAAGCTAAGAATTTTTCATACCAAGGGGAAGAATAGGGAGCTTCACTGAAGGAAGGGGATTTTATTCAGTCTTCCTTAATTAGACAGGACCTCCATGGATGCTTTTGCTGTAAGATCATTTACCCTGTGTTTATCACTCTTATGCCAATCTACGCAATGATCTAAGCTATTATTCAGAGGTTCTAACTCTGATTAAGGAATGACACAACTGTTTTGCCTCACTTGGTGAAGCTAAAGCTTCATAAATTATCTAGTAGTATAGTTATCTTTTGATCTATTAGCTTCGTTCATAAACATGAACTTATTACTTTTCGTACTCACCCGTAGTCTGCTGTTGGGGAATCTGAGTCTGATGTGGCAAGTTCCTAGAAATGATTAACATCTTTTAGTAAAACTGTATTTGTCCACACACATGCTAACAGAGAGCAGACACATTAGCATGAAAAACTTATATAGCTGGAAAGACCCCAGAAATCATCTAATCCAGCACAAACACAGCCCCCCACCTCTCATAAGTTTATGGATGAGGAAACTGAGGTCTGAGGAAGATGAATAATAACAATATTTGATAATATTCATGGAGTTTCTACTACATGTTATACTCTACCTCACAACAACATAGGAGGTAGGTATTATTTTTCTCAATTTACAGATGAGGAAATAGGCTTGGAAGTCCAAGGCTACGTAGCCAGGAAGTGGTGGATAAAGATGAGAACATAGGACTCCAGGGCTTGTGTCTGTAACCTGTACACTTTCAGATCCAGGTCTAGAACACATATACACACTCACAGAACAACATATATTACCATCTTCATTCACTGTGCCAAACCTGTGCTCCTCCATCCAAATCCCAGGGAATGACACTGGCTATCCACCCAACTGCACCAGTCAAAATATGGAAGTCATCATTGACTCTTCCCTCTCGTTCAGTTTCTACAATGAATCCCTTGGGGACCCTTCATGATTCTCCTCAATCTCCTTTGGATCTGTTTGCGTCTTCCCCATCTCTACTGCTACCTTGGTTGAAGCCATCATCATTTCTCATTTGGATCTCGGCAACTGATCTGAATTATTTCCTCATTCCCATTCTTGCTCCCTTATAATCCACTGTGCACATTGCTGTCAGATGATCTTCTGAGACACAAATCTGATTATGTCATTCAAACGAACACATTTCATTATTTCCTTATACCTACTGCCAATTAAGTTTCAAGTTTCTTAGTGTGATCTGGAAGGCCATCAATGTATCTGGTTCCTACGTGGAGTCCTCCCTGAACTTCCTGAAGCAGAATCACCGCCACCATGGCCACTATCATCTGTTGCCCCCAACCAGCTCCCATTTATCCTTCCAAACTCAACCCAAAATTTGTTACAGTGGACTCACATTACTCCTATAATTTAAAAATATCCCACAGGAACGTTAATTAAAATATTTAACTTATCATTTTTAATTTAAAAAGTAACATCTCAAGTACCACCTCTTCTATGCCTCCTCACTCTCTAAGCACCCCTTCCCCAACTAGGTTACCACTGAGCAGGCTTCCATACACAAGCTGTCATTGTATTTCTCCTCACATAATGTTTAACTGCCCCAAAGAGCCTTAACAGTAAGAACCTTCCTATTTTGTTTAGTATCCCTAGCAGTAAGCATGCAATAAATTATGTTTGGATGAATACATGCAAAAATGAAGATACTTACAAAGATGCACATAATACACATGTTTATCAACACTCATATTCACCCATGCATTTTCAGATTTTGATATGAAAATTAGTTTACAAAAATGTACAATTTAGATTCTGTGTGGAAGGAATTCTAGGAGTCAGCCCCTTGCAACAGAGTAGGGCTTGATCCAAGCCAGGGATTTTCAAGGTTTTTTGTTTCTCTTCAGCAATGGAATTCCTTTTAATTGAAATCCTAAGCAGAACTCTTGATGTACAAAAGAGATAAATGTGAGGTTGCCCGGGTTGAAACAAGGGAGCCAGGAATCCCGCCTGCTTTGTTTCCTTTGCCTCACATGCTGGACCCTAAGGCATTGGTAAGAAACAAAGTTTGAAAAGCGTTGATCTGAATCCTTTCAGCCAGGCAAATATTATGCTCCAAATACAGTGATCTAAACTCAAAAACAGTACATACTAAATACTGTTCAAACTTAAACTAATCCATAGGAATGGTAATGACTTCAAGTGATTTTTTTAAAAGTTTCAGTTCTTTTTAAAATATATGGTTAAGGAAATAAAATCAGTTCTAATTCAATTTGAGGAAGTTACTTAATAATTCCTCTCAATAATTACATTCTTTTTTTGCTATTCCCTATCAGCCCTATTTATCCTTGTGTGGTCTCCGAGAGTATTTTCCTTGGTTTGTTTATTCTTTCAGTATTTCACACAATGTATTTATAGTGCTTTTGATCACAAAAGTAAAAAGATTAATTTACAAACCACAGAAAGGAAATTAAGTTACAGATTTAAAGACGGGTAAACAAACATCTTTACTACCAAAGTCAAAATGCAATTTCATGGACATTTGGGAGGGGGATATGAGTTTTCTTTTAACTTCTCAGGTACAACTACTTTGGGTCTATTCTACATTAGAAATGAATACAGCACACCTTGCGTGCACAAGCATGCACACACACACACACACACACACACACACACGTCCTCATTTCCTATCATCTCTAGCTCTACCTGGCCTATTAATGGATTAAATCAATACATTTTGACAAAATAAAGATACCAAAGAGGAAAAAGAAAGCCTTTCAAAAGCCCTAGATCAGGATAAGCAAATTCAAAATCAATCTGTGAATGAAGTAGCTGGACCCCACTCTCTCACTGGCCAACCCACCTGACCCTTCTGTGGAACACAGTTTTAAAACCACGGATCAAAGTCAATCTACACCCTGTCATTTCTTCTCTAGCCTTCGGGGTTTTTTTTCCTCTTTTGCTACAACTTTCTAAACAGCAATGGCCTTGGTTAGGTTTGAAGAGAAATGGTTAGTTCAGAAAGTGCCACACAAATGAGTAAGAAATCTGGAGGGGAAGTATGAGCAACTGTGTGTATTACACTGGTTTAGGGATTTAAAAGTATCTGCAGTGAGCATCCCAATTAAGTTTGTTAAGTTTGAACAATGTACATGTGCTCCTCACAACTTCAACTGAAACTCAGATGAGTTACATACAAGTACAGTGTGTGCAACAAGGTGCTCAACAAAAAAATATGTGGAGATTCCACATCCCCAGAGTCTCCAAGGTGCGCACACATGACTGATTTTGCGGTTGACCAAACTTGTGGCCACAAGTAAGCCTGTGAGTGTTAATATACCTATGATGGGCATATTTGAAGTATGTATTCCATTTAAAGGTTGAAGGGAGGTAACTCATAAGAGTGCTGCTTCAAGCATACTAGAAAAATGCCCACGACTGACTTTGCTATAGTTGAGCAGAGAATGCAGTAAGAAAATGGAAACGCTTCTATCTTTGGTGAAAGCAGGCTGCTAATGGCAATTAGACAGGAAAAGTCGGGGTTGACTTCAAACAGAAGTCCTATGATCCTTCAAAGAAAGGACCTTTATAAAGTCATCAAACTATTTAGAATAATTAAGCTGTTAGTGGACTGGTGGAAAGATTATTATGTGTAAACTGAATTATGTAGAAAAAAGATTTACAAAAACTGTAATTCTCTAAATTATTAGCATTAATTTTTTTCTATTTTTACTACCATTAACTACAGGCATTTAAATAGAAAATTATGTAAATTGGCTATTGCACAAACTCTATCCTTTAAGAAAGCAAAGGTAATAACTTGCAAATTAATAAATAAGTGATTTGGGGGAGTACACAATTATTTATTATTTGTGCGACCATTTTAAAGTAATTTGACATTCTTGGATATCCTGTAGAGTAATTCTATGAGTAAGGTTGATGATTATCAACACATTATGTTCCTACTTGCTTGAAGACTCAAAAGCAAAGAAAGGCTGAGGGATTTGTATAAAGCCACAGAATCCATGCCAGAGTTGAAAACAAATGACATTAGTTTAGTTATGTGGAACACAAAACACTTCTTTTGAATTAGTATGTATTCATTTAAAAATAAGAAATAGTATTATCTTTTTGCAACTTCTCAATTATCAGCAAAATTGACATTACCCAAACCTTGAATTTTCTACAAAATTTTTTCTACAAAAATGCTGATGTGGACCCTATGACTACTTTTACTAAGGAACCAGGCCATTATTTTGCTCAAAGAAGGAAGGAAGGACACAAAGAAATTGGAAACATCACCACAATTTTAAATTTCAAGATCTAATTTTAATTAAAATCAATGTAGAATATACGTGGAATATAAAGAAGAAAGGAGAAATTCATTTATTTTAGGTTCTTTTCCCTACTTTTATAAAGCTGAAAGCAAGCCTACCACAGCTTTAAACTGAAGAAGTCCAAATCTCTAGAACCAAAATCCATCAGAGAGATACTATATCTATCACTTTTAGCAAATACTCGCTGAATTTTTTTAAAAAGTCAATGGCTCTGAAATATCCTTGGCTGCTCGACACTTCTTGTCAACAGGAAATCATTATCTTGATCCCCCGAAACAGTCTCTTCAACTGATATTAACTTTCATTGAAACCTAATTTTTTATTTATGGAATTTTACCATGAAGCTGGTTCTCACTATTACCCAAGGGAAGACAAATGGAAAAATACTTTCGATAAAAGCTAAAATGATTAGTTACTAAATATCTATAATTAGAAGACTTTACTTTTATACTTGTTAATTTGCAAAAGATTAAACACAACCTACTTCCTGTCTTGAGGGAGACCCAATCGCCCTGGATTAAGTGTTATGTTTAGTATAATGAACAAGGAAGAGTTTTGTATAGCCAATTAAAAATCTTCCTAGAAAATGTTTGGGTACTTTCCCCTATTATTCCTTATATAAATTCCTCATTGACGAGGCCTCCCACTCAGGAAAAATCAATTGATACTGATGTTGGGATTAAAAAAACAATAATGAAGAGGCAGATCTACCCCCTAAAAGACCACATAATACACTACAAATTAAAGAATAAATTATTTTTTAGAAATTGAATATTTGGGATCCTCCAGTCAATACTTCACATGAAATCGCAAAATGAGCACAGTTTCCAGGTGGTTTTTATCTTTTCAAGGTTTACCGTTTCTCGGTCCCATTCGGATATCATTTTCTAATCAGCACTAATCTCTCACTTCTCCACACCATCCTCCTCGGCAGTTTAAGGAAGTGTGAAAATCTAGAGGCACAAAGCCCAACACTCTGGACTGTCCCTTTTCACATTTTCTTTTGCACAGACCCCTCAGGGGGAATTAGGAGAAACCGTTCC